TATAAAGGATTTGGAGTAAATAGAACTCTTATACAGTTTATAGAAGTATAAAATGGTACTACCACTTTGAGAAATAATCTGAAGTATCTTTAAGAAGTAAATAGACAACTGTTTTTTTAAGTTCTAGCAGGTCACTTATGCAAAATTTAAATGGCATGAAGGTTGGAAAGAAAGAAGTAATGACCTGATCTTATATCTAGAAAAATCCTGAATGAACCCATAAAAAACTTAAAGAACAATAAATGAGGCAAGCAAGGTGCAGGATTCAAGCACACTATACAGGGGCCCCCATGGTGGCACAAGGGGTTAAGTCTCAGCACAATGAAGCTATTGCCAGCCACTGTACCACCAGTTCGATCCCCAGCCAGGGAGCTGACCCACAAGGCACAGCAGACCTCTCCTGTCTCACCCTCTGCTCCCCTCAGTAGTGTATTTCAGTAGATCTGCCTGTTCTGCTCCCCACTCTGTCTCTGGTGAATCCTCTCACCCCCATCCCCCTTCCGCCACATCTCTGGTCTATACCCCATAAATAAAATATCAACAAAAATTGGATGTGTAAATAAATCTTTAAAAAAAAACAACAGTATACAAATGCCCATTGTATGTCTATATACCAGCAATGAACACCCCCAAAATGAAGTAACAATTCCATTTACTATAGTATCATAAAGAGTATTTTAGGAATAAATTAAAGAAAAACATAAAAGACATATACTGAAACCTACAAACATTATTGAAAAGAAAATATAAATGCAAAGACATGTTAACAGGCTGCAGGACAAAATTGATTTAAAGATTCATTGCCTGTACACCTATGTTTATAGCAACACTATTTACAATAGGCAAAACCTAGAAACAACCCAAATGCCCAAAAACAGAAGACTGGATCAAGAAGATGTGGCATATATACACAATGGGATATTATTCAGCAATCAAAATATAAACTCATGCCATTCGCAGCAACGTGGATGAAGCTAGAAGGAATTATGCTCAGTGAAATAAGCCAGAAGGACAAAGAAAAATATTGGATAGTTTCACTTATAGCAGGAATATAGGGGAACCAAATAAGACATCAGTGTAAAAAAAATAGTAACAGTACAAACCACAACAAAGCAAAAACAGACAATTACAAATCAGAGACATCCTGTAGGGGAGGAGGAGGGAGAAGGATGAGGGGGAGGGAGGGAGGAGCACACGGGTGCCTTGGGGAAGGAAATTCTATGGGGACTCAATCTTAGGGGGTCGGGGGAAGCAAATAGTCTAAAAAACGAGAAATATTAAAATAAAAAACTCAAAAATAAATATTCATTACAATTACTATTAAAATTACTATTAAAAATTGGCCTGCCCTCCACAAAATTAACAAAAAATGCACGTGAAGATGCAAAGAACCCAGACAGACAAACTGACCTTAAAAGTAAGAAGGTGGCGGGGAGGGGTCTCATACGTCAAAGCTTACAATAGTCAAGATAGTAGGAGACTAGCATAGGATTGAGAATCTAGAAATAAACCCTCATAAGACAGTTTATGGTTGAGTTTCGACAAAGGTGTCAAGACAATTTGATAGGGAAAGAATATTCTTTATAACAAATGCTGCTGGGACAACTAGGTATCTACATGCAAAAGAACAAAGCCCTACTTCACTACTATATATAAAAACTAATTCAGAATGAATCCTAGAGTTACAACTATAAATCTGTATGGTGATGGATGATGGGCGCTTCAGTGGTGGGTATGATGTGGTAACGTGCACCATGTTCATCAAACATACAGTGTTGCAAACTCAAAAGAAAGTTACAGAGAAAAATGTTAAAAAAATAAACAAAACTGTAAAACTCTTAGAAAACAAATTCTTGTGACCTTAGATTACGCACCAGATTCTTAGTTATATCAAGTGATAATGAATGAAAAAACACATTGCAAAGTGATGCCCAGATATAACACCTTTGAAATTAATGCTTAAAAGTATTTAAAAGAAGGGTAATTATGAATGAACAAATACATATGTAAAATATAAAAGTATGAATCATAATCTCAGACTGGTAGCTGCTTTTATTTTTTTAAAGATTTATTTATTTATTTTATGCAAGCACTGGGTACAGTCAGAAGCGTGGGAGGGTGAAAGAATTCACCAGAGTCAGAGCATGGAGCAGAGCAGGCAGACTGATGAAACACACTGCTGAGGGGAGCAGCGGGCACGGCAGGCAGGAGAGGTCTGTGGGCCATGTGGGACCCTTGCCGGTGGCTGGGGATCAAACCGGTACAGCAGGCAGCTTCTCAGCCCAGTGCTCAACAGCTGCGCCACCAGGGAGGCCCTGGTAGTTGCTTTTAAAGAGGAGCCGAAGGTGGCAAGGGTTTAAATGAATCAAGGACTTAAAACAGTATCTGTAATTGTTTCTTAAAAAAACTGAAATTGGAATTGATGTTTCTGTGTCCTTTGGGTAAATACCTAGGAGTGGAATTGCTGGATCATATGGAAGCTCTATGTTTAGTAGGTCCAGAAATCTCCACACAGCTCTCCACAGTGGTTGGACCAGTTTGCACTCCCACCAACAGTGCAGGAGAGTTCCTTTTTCTCCACACCCTCGCCAACATTTGTTGTTGCTAGTTTTTTTAATATGTGCCATTCTCACTGGTGTAAGATGGTATCTCATGGTAGTTTTGATTTGCATTTCCCTGATTACAAGTGATGTTGAACATTTTTTCATATGTCTGTTGGCCATTTGCATTTCCTCTTCAGAGAAGTTTCTATGTTTATAGCAGCACTATTTACAATAGCTAAGCTTTGGAAACAGCCCAAATGCCCAAAAATAGATGACTGGATCAAGAAGATGTGGTACATATATACCATGGAATATTACTCAGCATTCAAAAAAGACAAACACATGCAATTTGCAGCAACATGGATGGCGCTGGAAGGGATCATGCTCAGCGAAATAAGCCAGAAAGAAAAAGAAAAATACCGATGGTCTCACTCATAGCAGGAATCTAGAAAACTTAAATAAGGGATCAGGAAAATGAATAACTATAAGAAAGTGAAAATCAAAATCAACAAAAAACTATGAACCAGAGACACTTTTTGGGGGGTGGGGGCCGGGAGGGGAGGGATTAGGGTCAGAATGGGGCATGTGCAGTTGTATGGGGGAATATAAAAATAAAATTTATTATTTAAAAAAAAAAAACTGAAATTGGGCATACTGTTAATATTGTAATACTTATGTACACAAATGTATGCGTATATACATGTACCTTTGTGAATATGCAAAGTATTTTATAACTTGATAAATCATATTTTTTGAAGAATGAGCTATCCTTATCATGAGTATTCATTGGCAGTACAAAGCCGGGCAGAAAAGAAGGTAAATGAAACTAATGTAAAACTATACTAATCCCAAGAAATATTTCAGAAATTGCTTTGGGAATAAATCCCGAAGCCTTTGTCATTGCCTTTATTCAAATTGGAGTACAAAGTACGTGCCCTCGGAATGATTACTGGAATTTTCCACTTGTTTATATTCTATACAAATAGTAGTGTCTTGTGTTTATTTTAGTAAATTTTTTTCCTCTCTCTCTGCTCCTAAATTTGTTTTCATCAAATTTTCCCATGCTTAAAACTTTTCCTTTTGTTTTTTTTCCCTTTCCCTCAATTTGCATTTCCTTTTCTAAGCAATGGTAAAATATTATTTTCTCTCCCATTTGCTCATAAATCAAAAAGTACATTTCCTTGGTTGGTTAGATTTTTACTTTCATCTACGTGTTTGCTGGTTTGTTTATGTCCTTCCAGCATCTTCACTCTTCCCAAGTGCAGGACGAGCTTCCAGATGTTAACAGGCTACCGCTTTCACATGGAGGAGGTTTACTTATTTAGACCTAACAGGATGATGTATACGCAGATGGGGATATAACAATTTTTTTTTTTTTGAAGTGAGGAAATTTTTTTCCCCTTTTTAATTTTCTTTTATACATTTTTTACATCATTTTTCATTTTTTGTACAATGTATGCATTTTCAACTTGGTTATAGTCCTCATATAATTCCCACCCCCCTCCCCTTGTTTTGATCCTACTCCCTCCTCTCCCCCTGTAGTGTGTCTCTAGGGCAACTGCACCCCTATGTTTATAGCAGCATTATTTACAATAGCTAAGCTATGGAAACAACACACATGCCCAAAAAGAGATGACTGGATCAAGAAGATGTGGTACATATACACAAGGGACTATTACTCAGCAATCAAAAAGATAAACTCATGCAGTTTGCAGCAACATGGATGGAGCTGGAAGGGATTTAACAATTTTTTAAAAGGGTACAGACTCCTTTCTCTGAAGGGCGCTTAAACTGTAGGGGACAGGGCTGCTGTCGTTGTCAGAGTGAGGTCAGTGCTGCAGGTGCTGCTCTACTCTCCCCAGAGCCCAGTTCTCTCTGAGTTAAAGCCCAGGAAGGCTGCTTGGCTCAAGCCACAAGGGCCAGGAAAGGAACGCCTTCTGTCATCTTTTCTTCCCAGCCAACTGCAGCAGTTATCATTTGGGCACCCTCCACTGCCAGGCAGTATTCTAGGCAATTGATACCACTCCCCATAGGCGTGCCCTGTCACCTCCACTTTCCAGGCAGGGCTCTGGGTGGAGATAAGAAGTGGAACATGCCAGGTCACCAGGCAGAACCAAGATTCACATCCATCCAGCAATGGCTCCCTGAAAGCCCCTACCACGTGACTTCTTTCCTCTCAAGCTGCAGCAGGATGCAGAACAGACTTTTTTTTTGGTGGAAGAGTTGATTTTTCTCCCTCACAACCCACCAGGCAATCAACCTATTTATATCAAGGTGGGGTGATGCTTAAATTTTCAAGGGAACAATTTGAGTTCTCAAGTGTGATGTGAATTTTAAAAAAAGCATTTGCATAGAGACAGATAGACACGCGCACACACACACTCCAGAAGATTCCACATAAAGGCTCACATAACAGTGTGTTCTGAAAACGATGCCCTACTGAGTAAGGGAGCTTACCTGGATAGGGTCCTGCGTCAGTCTCATGGGCCCAATGCGCACCTCCGCAGAAGAAACCTGCTAAATAAAAGACAGCACATGAGATGCAGGAGCCTCAAACCACCCAAACTCACAAGTCCTTACACACACTAGTACGTGCAGTCACTGTGGCAGCTGCATCAGAGGGTCCAGAGCATTGGCATGGAGGCAGCTTACAACACCTATACAGTATAACCCTGGCTTTGTAAAAACAAAGTACATATATACATATATATAGAGAGAGTGTCTGGGAGGCTATAGCCTCAAATGCTAAGTGGGATTTTGGATTATTTTTACTTTAAGTACATGGTTTTACACATAAGCATGTGCTGTTTTACAGAAGAAAAAAATTCAAGGATTATTTACTGAGCACCTAATATAAGCTAGTTACCTGCTAGATAATTCTGAAATTTCAAGAGCAAAAATTTCTCCCAAATGTGGAAGCCAAAGCATTCCTACGGTTTTAAGAGCTGTTCCTATGTTTATTTTTCTTAGCTTCATGTTTCAGTGTAAGAAATAAACAGCTGCTTCTTACCCATGTTTACCACAAATAAGTTATGCACCCAGTTGTATCTCCTTGAGTGTAAGTGGCTAGCACCCCACTTACAGCACAGGCTACACTGCCCCATCAGCACCAGCAGTGAGCTCAGGTGTACACGGGCCAACACCACCTAACGCCTATGGCGGCAAACACAGAGCAAGTACTTGCTTTAATTACTTGGATTTCTAAAAAATGACTTTTCTCTAGACAACTAGAGTGAGGGTCTTGGCTTCACCTCCATGTCTCCAACTTTGCTTTCTCTAAAAAGCCAAAGTCCCTTTGCCGCTACCTGGACGCTTATCCTGCACCCCACATGCCGAGCGGGCCCGTCAGCCCATGCGTACCCTCCCCTGCATCAGAATCCACAGGCGCAGACGCACCAGTGACCCGAGGGCCAGAGGACGCTTTAATCATATTTTTGAAGATTCTAAAAATCTCCCTTTCTCCTTTTTTCTCACTCCCATATGCTTACCTCCCAGCGTACCTGGTATGAATCTTCTCAAAGACATACTATGAGTTGCTGGACATTCTTTCCCCAGTGAGGTGGATCTCCCCACCCCTTTGGCCTCTTACCAAGTCAGCCAGAAGAAAACTCAGTCTTCTGGCTACTCTTCTGAGGCTCCTGTGGTGGTGTTTTGACAGGAAGGTACAGGGCATGTTCTCTATTCGGGCAGGGAAGTAAAGAAGAGTCCCGGGGCCCTCAGTAGCTTTTTCAGGCTTTAAAGCTCTTTCTACACCAATAGTTGTCGGGGAAGCCTGCAGGCTGGCAAGACAGGGCGGCCCCAGTCTCCTGGACCCCACCAAATCTTTACGCTTTCTCCGGTGGTCCCTACCTCTTGTAGCCTTTGCTAGTCCTCTCTAGCCATTCTCCCGTGTCTGAGTGGAGCTGCCTTATAGCCTCCGCCTCTGGGCCCAGGTGTGCCCACTCACACATGCCCGTACCACACTCCAAGGTGCTGCCATCAGCATGTGTGCCCCGTGCCCACGCTCCCAAGCGCCTCCTGCATTCAAGGCCGCAGATGATAGCCACAGACGCCAGCAGCACAAAAGCCTGAGCATTTTACTTACCCTATGGGTGGGTTCTCGGGAGAGCAGAGTTGCACTCTCCCTCTGCTGTGTGGTGGGGGCGGGATGGGGGTGAAGGTGGCCTCCTGTCAGTGGATCCTCCCTGCAGGCCTAGCACAAGTAAACCAACTTGGGAGTTTGCATCCCTGAGCATAAAGGCCAAGTTCCTTTAGTGCCTCACTGCTGTCTTCAGGTAAAAATGACAAGCACAAGTGCTGCATACTCAAGTCCAGTATGTAACTCTCTCAACACTTCTTTTTAAGCAAAACAATGTCCTTGGAGGTGTGTGTGCCCCAAGAATAGCTCCCTGCCTCCCTCATCACTAGACCTCTGGCCCCCACCCAATTCTACTCTAAAGGCAATTTTCATTGTTTGAAATACACTCTCCTTCCAAAGCAGAGCAATTGCCAGATTTTGCTAAAAAGTTATCAATTAAAAATGGACTCAATTTGGTATAGGAAGATAAATTTGATAAGCTGGCATATTTTTTTCTGTCTCCCTGTAAGTTCTCTTGGGTTCACTACAGCCACCACACATAAGCCCCACCCTTGGCCCCCAAGACCACCTGCTAATGGTTTCTCCAGCAAAACCAACTCCCAAAGGAGTCAGGGACAGAAAATACACAGATAAAATAGTTTAAAAGGAATAAAGTAAAAAGCAACTTGCTTTGAAAGGCAAAGAATCTGCAGGAAGGACCCAAATAATGATATCTGCCCTAACCAACACATTCCTGTATACCTTGCAAGTAACCAATATGTGCAAAAAATAACAGTTATATAGACCATCTTAAACTCTGCTAGGAGAGTATCTGAAGTCGGTGTGAACAGTGCCTGAGCGCCCTTCTGTCCCAAGCGAGGCTCTTCACATGAGTGCCCATGATGGGGGACAGCAATGGTCACGAGTGACAGGATGGAGTTTCAGAAGCAACACTCAGACTAGAGGATACCCTGCTCCTGCCAAAGGACAGGAAGACTCTCCATCTTTCTCCCACAATTCCCTGACTGCCTCCAGCATTTGAAACTGCTTCAGTGAGCTTAGGAGGAAGGAAAGCAGGACCCAAGAGAAGAACTGCAAAGCAGGTGGACCCTCTTTAAGACCCTTGCCCCTCAGTCTCTACCTGCTCTTTGCCTGTCTCCCCCCAGCCCCACTCCATTTCCCCATAGCTTGGGGGCCTCAGTCCACCAGCTCCCTCCACCTGACCCACACTTTGCTTATCTCTTGGTTTGCCTTTTCTGTTTTGCTCTATGCTCCCAGTTGTCTGATTTTGCTTCCAGACCCAAGAGGTAAACTATCCCAATAGAACCCCAGAGCCTGCCCTTGCTGGCTGAGGGCTGGCAGGACGCAATGGCCCAGGAAGACAAGCTGCAGCAGGTACATCCATCAACAGACAGCAGCAACAGTGTGCAGGGTTCTGTTTCAGACACAGAAGTCTGACTGCCTGCATTTCACCATTTTGTAAAAGAGGAGACAGGAGAAACAGGAGACCACTGACTGATGTCTGTAGCCAAGCCAAGATTCTCTACTTCAAAGAGCGAACTTTGAGCAACTGCAGATACACTTGATTCTCAATTATCAGCTCTGAGCACGTTTGCCAGGGACACAGAAACAAGAGGGAAGGCTGACAGGTAAAACAATCCCAGAGCCTGAAAGAAGGGTTGGATGGAAAGTGGGAGGAGAGATGTGCTTCCCAGCCACTCCATCCATGCAGCCTCCCCCAACTGCCCAATGAGACAGGATGGCTGAGCCACATGCAGTGTTACCATGCCAACATTTACAGGGTGTCAAATATTTGCGTGTACACATGTGTGCATGGTAGTGTCACCAATCCACATTCAGATGAGCTGGCTCTCCAGGGGGGAAAAAAAAAACAAACAAGTCCTATTTTGCAACATTTGCTGATTCCATGGTGCAAATATTTTCACCATAACTAACATCAAGCTGGTAACACAGGTCTCTGAGTGTGCAATTGGGAAAATATCTTTTCCTTCAGAGAGGGCCTAAGAGAGGCAAACTCACTCAAGCCTTTATTATCTATGAATGTCTATCATTTGCTTTTGTTTGATGATTTAGCTATTGAATTCTGGTTGAGAGACATTTTCCCTCAGATTTGTTAGTTGAGAGAAAAGAGGTAATACTTCTGGTTTTGAAGTGGGTAGCTACAGGAAGGTTTCGTGAAGATAAGTGTGATGAGAACCAGGGAAAGAGATGGAAATTCTAGGCCTATGAAACAGCATACGCCAAGCCATGGAAGCAAGGAGGCAGGGGTGACCACAGCGGAGAAAACAAAGGTCTGGAGAAGCTGAGTTATATAGCATGTGTGAGGGAAGACCAGGAGTGCTGGGGTCAGTTCCTCAGGATTAAGGAGAGAAAGTCCCTTGTTATTCTGTAGGCACCCACCACATTGCAGGTTTTGGAGCAGAGAGGTTAACGGGATCAGAATTATGACTTGGGATGCAGGAATCAAACATTTGGTTTGCCTGCTTTGTGGAAAGACAGAAACAGAGGTGTAGCAGCACAAAACACCACCATGAGGAGGAACTATAGCAGTGAAAGTGGGAAAAAACGAACCACCATGATCAAGAAAAAAGGTACCCCAACCCCCTCACACACCGCAGCTTGGACTCATTTCAAGGGAGAGAGAACTCCAAGATGAAAACCAGCTGATGCAGGGAAGGCAGAGGAAAGAGTCTTGAGAGCGCAAAGGCGCTCAGGTCACTGGTTCCCCTGGCTCCACACCACATTCTCAGCTGGCCATCACCACAGTTTGACGTGGTTTCAGCTTCAAGAATTTTGTTAAATAACCTAGAATTAAGTTTTCGTGCTTCCCTTAAACTAGAAGAATTAAGGAAGGAAAGTTGAGGAAGTCCTAGAGAGCACTTCCTCCCTAATCTGCTCAGCCCAGCTCATCCTTCACGGGCTGCTCTAATGTGGTACCCCATCTCCCCACTCTAATGCCCCTCTCTGAGGCTGCACCCAAGGCAGACAACAGGGTCCTCAGTATCCCTCTAGCATTTACTCATTTACACATTTCTCCTTGATAAGATTATGAGTTTTATAAGGATAGACTGTCTTTTTCACAATTTTATCCATAACATCTAGAAGATGCTTGAAAAATGAAAGGTTACAAACAAATGGAACTGAATAGAAATGCCTAAGGTTGTACAGACTATAAGTAACTAAGTCAGAATTAAGACTTCATTTTCCTGACTCCCAGATCACTGCTCTTCCATGATGCTCCAAGGTTTAGAGCACTAATTCTTACCACACATCCCAGCTTTCTCTTACAGGTCCCTGGACTCCACTCTGACTTGGCAAAACAGATGATCCAGTACCTGACAATCTCTGCTCACTTTACCTCATGGAAGTCCATACTGCCACCAGCACTAAAAAGACTAGGGTGGTGGGGGGGTGCGGGGAGGGGTATTGGGGGAGG